GAGCAGAGGGGAGGAGAGTGGAAACTGATATTTTTCATTTATGTTAAATATGTATCACTCCTATTAATTTCAAGAAGCAACCTAATCATCAACTTTAGTGTTGCATTTTAATGGTAAATGGACCTGTACTTGTATAGCGCCTTTCCAATCTTCCGACCACTCACAGCGCTTTTACACTACATGCCACATTCGCCCTTTTACACACAGTTTACTCACTCAGTGATGGCAAAGCCCATCAAACGCATTCATATACATTCACATACCGATGCACAGCATCAGGAGCAATTCAGGGTTTATTATCTTGCTCAGGGATACTTTGAAACGTGGCGGGAGGAGCCGGGGATCGAACCAACAACTTTCCGATTAGTGGACGACCCGCTCTGCCTCTGAGCCACAGCCTTCGATTTTAACACGATTTGGTTGACCCCACTTTTTCTCTTCCCTATTACATTGTGTACTATAAACTGTGGTGAACAGTGTCCTGTGCAGCAGGAAACACATCTTTTACATTTATGAACACAGGCTTGTAATAAAAATGAAATTTCATATAACCATATAAATGTAAGCTAAAGATAAAACATTTGCTCGGCCATTTATGTAATGTATGTTATGTACGTAAGAGGTATTAGCACTAGTGAACAATCCTCACCACTGCTCACTTTCATTGAGAGCTTCCTCAAATATCAGAGCCTTTTTACAAAATAACTGTATAAAAACTTCTAGAAATTGTCAATTCCTTGAGTGTCTCTAACTGAAATACTAATAGCAAAAACCCAGAGTGGTTTAATCCTGTTAGACAATTGACAGCTATTTCACACAGAATCATGTTTTCAGAATCCAAGCAAATTTATTTATAGGTGTCATACAAGGTCTTTGATGCAACACAAATATGTTATAGCTGAATTTAAAACCAGATCAAAACAAGAATCTCAGTTACATTCATCCATCATAAAGACTGAATTTACAAGATTTTAGAAGAACCCAGTATCTGAAAAGAAATACTCTATAGTGCTAAATTATTCACTTTAAATTAATTGATTAATTGTTAGTAAAACCTAAAGAGTTTTTAGTCATAGGTCAGCTGACCATGCAAAATGTTAAATTTATATATACATATATTGAGATGAATGTGTCCAATAATTGATAAATAATCAATTAATAAGTTGAGTTTAAATGGAATAGTTCTATTCCTATTTTCCCTGTAATTACTTTTAAATTACTTGCTTCCAGGAAACTCAGAAATCTATAATAAACTGTAAAGCACAAGAAACCCTGAATACATAATTAATGCAATCTAACAATAAAATGATTATCAAGAGAAATTGAGGACGAAAACATGGACTAAGCCAAAACAGTGAAAATGCTAATTTTCAGATTTTTGCTGGACTTTTACCACCTGAGACAGCTAGTTCAACACTAGTTCATCAGACATGGAGAGCAGGAGAAGAAAGATAAAAGATGCTTTCCAAGTGTTGTGGGCATGTAGGATGATCTTTTTTCCCCAGTCCATTATAGGAAGTTGGGATGAGGTCCTGGCAAATTCTTTAGGCCTTGAAGTTCTTGGTCCTCAAAGTCCTTGAACCAGTGAAGTAAAATTTTCCAGTCTGTTTAATTTCCTTTCCCTTCCTTTCAGATGCATTATTAGCTGCATGATTTAATGTCATAACCAATTAAAGCAGATAATTTCTTGCTACCATCACATACCACAAACACTAAATGTTTTAGTTCCATAGTGCCAGCAATATTACTAACAAACCCATACAGCAGGACCAGAGGGTTGTAGGCTGGGGTGGACCATCAGAGCCACTCAGGAGGTACTCTACCCGAGACCAGGACCCATTATTGGGCAAAGGTTCCACTCCCAACGTCCAGCACATCACGTTATAGACGTCCACTGCTCGAATTGGAGCCACCCGAACATTCCGCTTGAAGTCTGGATGAAATTAAGTAAACATAATTAGATCTCAAATGAATAATCTTATATTATAATTTACAATATTGATCTTCACCACAAACTAGAGACGATACTGACTGTGATGATACACTGATACTGTACAGTTCACACTCTCTGCCTCAAAAAACCCAGCTCAACTTGGGTTCTGAGTCACATCTAGATTTCTAGGAACTCACTGTAGCATCTTTCCACTGACATGGTACACCCTGCTTTAGACACAGTGGATCACAGGAAAAGACTCACAGACACAATACCATTGTGAAGTAGAGTGTTGCTTGATAGATCACAGGCGTAAAAGAATACCCAGATTAAACATCATTTGTTTTGTTACCAGGTCCTGTCGCCAAGAAGAAACCTCTCATGTCAAGGAACTCATTGTCGTAACCATGCCAGCCATTTTGCCATGCTGAGGGCTCCCCAGAGTCATTTTTCCAGTATGGGAGTTTAGCCTTGTTCTGAAACACACACAAGAGATTTGAACAAAAGATAGAACAAAGGATGTCATAAGGTTTTATGGATTTTTCATGGCTGCAACAATAACAATCCACATGATACTAATAATTGAAATTGAGATTGTTTTGTCAACTGTTGTTTCCAAGGTCAAGAAAGAACTATCAAGCTTAAGTGAGTTTACATTCACTCAAAAAGTTTTATGTATATCAAATCAAGCATTGTGTACATCTATTTATATACTTCTTTGCTGACGCATTGCTGCACATGTAGATCAGTGGATAGTCCCTGAGGTGCTCAAAATCATGGAATGTTTCAACATCTATAGGGCAATTTGCTGATAAGGACCAGAATGGATACTAAATCAACGGTAAATAATACAGATAAGTCAACAACTAACTTCTACAACTAGATGATACTGTCAAATGTCCAACTGAAATTGCTGAAACATGGCACCCTGAGCAAATCTGTGCGTCCACTCATATCTTAGCTTCAGATCTTTCACTTCAAATGCAGTTGCTCAGAGTAAGAAAATCATTCATGTAAAGACAAGCACACTTTGTCCTAGTTAATGTGTTGATACAAGTGAAAACTGTTACCTCAGCGATAAACCAGCCTGGCTCAGCCACCAGCGTCAGGGGGGAAACAAACTTCCCCCCTTTGAAATGGAAACGTTCAGGGATCTCTTGTCTGGCATAGACACGCATGTTAGGGACCTGGGACAATGCGGCATACAGCTGGCATAACACACACACACATACACACACACACAGTGTTATTACAAAAGTCGCTTTACAGCACTAGTAATTCCTGTAAATTTGTAAATGGAATAATCTTCAAATCCTCTCCACTTTAAAAGGCTACTACTTTTGCATACTTTCAGCTACAGACTTCATCGAGGACACCCTGAAATAATCTAAAAACATTTTAAAAAGTCTCAAAGCTACTTTAGGTTAATCAAAGCTGTTGTGCATCTGTCCTGGGGGATGTTTTTCTCAGTTTACCTTACAGAATGGCCATATCAAGCCAGCGTTTGTGCGCCAAACTGAACATTTTATTCAGAATCAGAATCAGAATGAGA